TTTTTTTTTTTTTTTTTTTTTAAAGTACCACCTTTAAAATAATGCATACTTTAAAACTTCTTTTAACTGATATATATACCCTTTGGTTTCACAGGGTTTACTTGAGATTACTCACTTCATCCATTAATATACTGCTAGATTATCCATGATTAACCCAAACAAGACTCACTTATCCGTAAATGAAAATAATTTGTTCATCTATAAATGGTTTTGGTTACCTACAATATACAGTAGAAGGACTGATTTTAGGGATCAAGCCTGGAAACAGTTTACCTACGTAAAAGTGCCTCTCTCCAGGGCAGACTCATGTCTGAGGTGTAATGTCTCTCAAAATGCTCTAAGAGGCAAACAGAAGAAGTCTCTAAATTATATAACTGTTTATTGTTCTTCCTCAATTTTTGTTTTTACTTTTCCTTCAGAAATAAAATATTGACATTGAAAGGATTGCTAAAATTTGGCCTGCCATTTTTTATTCCTTTAGATTACAACTTGTTAGTAATTTTGGGCATACATTTTTGTATAACATTACTTGGAACTGAAATTAAAGCACTGTTAACTTCCACAGAAGACACAGAATAATATTTTCCTATTAATCTATTTTAATAATCTGCCTAGTGCAAAAAACAGCAGGTCAGTAATTACTAATGCATAGTTCAGACACAGTAGGATGAGATAAAAGTAGAAGTTCAGACCTTTTCCTCTTTTAGTTAGACTTAAAATTTAATAGCCTGTATATACTGAACTGTTGCAGTCATCCCTGTAATTCCTTCCACACTTCTACAAGTAAAAGTAAAAATGCTTACAATGGAAAGGTTCTCAAAATATTACCACCTATTACATCAGAATGCCTTCAAAATACTGTTAGTATCATTGGTCAGACCATTCTCAATGCACTTTGTAATTTTGTCAGTGCACTGATTGAAGCAAGGACACAAGAATCTTGAAGCTGGAATAAGTCAACAGCATGTTTAATATACCATGTGTGTGCTGCATTGGGCTTTTCTACCCCATCTTTCTGTAGACAATGTCCCTTCTTTCTTTGTCCCTCATTTACCAATTTTTTTTCCTATGAAATTTCCCATCATCATTACCAATGAATTAAATGGAATGATGGCAACACCAGTTTTGTCAAGGCATCAGTAACCACCAATGTTCCAATTTCCCCATCATTGAAAAAAACGTAGAAACTTAAAAGCTCTCAACAATCATGAGGTTCTCATCGTAGTTACCATGATAAAGCTCAGCAATGGAAGACATGAGAGAAAAAAAATCTTAACAGATAAAAAACAAGCAATGAAGAGTATCACCAAAGCTCCTGGAAACACTGTACAGGTTTCCCTCACTTTATGCGGGTTTTGTATGTGAGAATTCGCTCTTATGTGATGACCCTTTTTATACCAAAATTCATTATATGCGAGGTAAATTCACACTTACGTGATTGGTATGGTGGAAGCCCACAGTCAGCTGCTTCGTGCAGTGCACTGTGGAAATGACACCATTGACGGAGGAAGAAAAAATTAATTGTGGGGGGCAGAGGGGTGGGTAAGCTGGGTGGAGGTGCCTGGGCCATGCTGCAGCACTGGCCCCTGCAGCCCAGCCTAGTCAGCACGGCGCCTCGGGAGCTATGAGTCATGAAGCTGCCCAGCAGCAGCAACTGTGACGGTTGCTCAGGGCAGCTGATGCCTTTGCTTTTGAAGTTACAGCTGTACTGTCTGCTGTTGGTGAGTACCAAAATTATCTTGTAACAGTGGTAGAAATGGGTCAGGGGGTCAAATACAGTCAAGGTCTTGGAATGTATCCCTATTTGTTACATTGTAAAAGTGGGTTCCCTTTACTGGAATTTGAGTCATACACCGTTTGCCAGGAACACATGTGCAGCATAAAATGAGGGAAATCATTTGAAATCATTTTTTCAGCTCTAGTTTGAACTACAAAGGTTTAAACTCCAGCCCAGAAAATGCTACACCACAACCTGGGGGTGCACCAACAGAGATTCTGGGGGCCGACCATGATAGCCGATATTTAAAGGAGGCATATCAGCCAATACCAATCCAATATCCGATATAGCTGCCTCCAGATGGAAAGTCCAGAATAGTGGAAGGGGAGGGGGAGGGAAACGGTATGGGAGGCAGATCAACACCCCCTGCAATGAGGGAGAGGGCAGTGGCAGGGGCTGCCCAGTTGGGGTGGGAAGGGGGTACAGGACCGAGGCGCGGCTCGTGGGGTGGAGGCAGCTCCCGCTGCTGCTTGCACCCTGGGAGGGTGGGGGGGGCACATGCCCCCAGATCTGTGCAGCTGTGGGGTGGAGCCAGAGCCAGTGCTGCACGGGCCTTTTCTCTCTAGAGGCTGGGCTTAGAGTGGGCTCCAGTGGTGCTGGGAGCAGGCTATAGCCACCCCAAATTTCACTGCAGCTCCGCTCCCAGCCCCACACCACCACCTGGCACAGCCCCAGCTGAATGCTCCACCTTCACCCAAGTGCCAAGAAAAGCTGTGGCTGTGCCGGGCAGTGGCACAGGGCTGGAAGTGGAGCTATAGTGAAATCTGAGTTGGCTGCAGCCTCCTCCCGCTGCTGGATCCTGCTCCGAGCCCAGTCCCCAGCAAGAAAAGCCCCACGCAGTACCAGCTCCATCCTGCAGCTACAGCCCGTGCCTTGCCACAGATCTGGGGGCACATGCTGCCACCCCCTGCAGTGCAAGCAGTGCCAGGAGTCCCCCCATGCCGCGCCTGGACAGCACCTGCCTGTCCCCTCCCTCACCACAGGGGGTGTTGATCTGCACCCCCCACGTCCCTTCCCTCCCCCCTCGCCTTCTGACCTTCCACTTAGAGGCAGCTCTCCATGCTGCTGGCTTTGCTCCATGCTGCGTGCAGCACTGACATTTAATCAGCCAACTTATCAGCCCCATCAGTCCAAGGTAGACAAGTCTCTTCATATCGGTACCAATCCAATATCAGACAGACACATCGGTGCACCTCTAATCACAACATACCTCAGAACAAAAGAAAGAGAGCTGTAATGTGGAAGCAATTGTGAAAAGAGGTAAACCATCACTCTGTGGATCCAGAGTAACTTCAAGCATCCTTCTGAACCTGTTCTGAAGCCCGCCACAAGCCAAATCAGCTATTAAATGGTAACTAGTTATTTGAGCCACAAAAGTAAATGACTGGATATATTACTAGCCACACTGTTCCACTGTGTGCTATTGGTCAAAGACACCAACCACACTAGCTTGAAGAGCTACTTAGGGTTAAGAGTGAACAGCTTATCTTCTTACCATATTATTCATATACCACAGGTACCTTTTCCCCAAAAAATTAGCCCTCCAAAACTGAGGTATGCATCTTGAGCAGGGAAGCTGATTTCCTTTTCTTGAACAGAAGCATGGAGGATTAGATGTATGGAGAGGTTGTGCTGCAAAATGTCTGTCCCTTCTTTCTGGGATATCAGGTAACCAGGGATGGAGTCCACCATGATCCCTGGTACTGAACTTTCATTTTGGCAGCAGCTGCAAAAGGGTAAATGACAGTCTCTGATGCTGTCTGCTTGCTATCTCAGGGAGAAGAGGCAACCATTTTACAGAACAATCTTGCTGTAAAAAAGCCATCTCTAAGCTTTGAAAAAGTTTTTTTTTTTTTTTTACAATTGGCCTTCAAAAAGAACGCGTCTCTCTTATTTGGGAGCACGTGGTATATGAGAAAATACAACATTTTGGAATTTTATACATTAAAAATATACCTCACAAAGCTATTCTCCCATCTGGAGACCTCCATAAAACTACCTAGGTTTCACCTTAGCTGCCTGACTTTAGATTGTAAGCCATATTTAATTATACAAATGAATGGAATCAAACCCAAGTGACATTTGGTCAACCCATATTACCTTTTCACAGGTTCTGTCTGCACAAGTGCTGCATCTGTCATGGCTTTCATCCACAACTCCATTTCCTTCCCTGTATCTGTGCAGAAATAATAGGTCCTCATGTTTGGATGAGCTGCCTGATTGGAAATGACACAGTCAAAAATAAGGTTCTGTAAAAGAAAAAAGAGAAATACCATTATTATTTGTACACTCTGTAATCTTTGCTTTATTTTTAGGTTTATTAAAATAATATAATGCAAATGTAATGAACTTTTCTTTTAGTGCAATTATATTAACAAATAAATTAGTTAGAATTTTTATCACTGTTACTTCTTTGATAATGCATCTTGCATTTCATCTCTTTGTGTTTCCTTTAGCTATCAAAAAACCCAATACTGATTGCTATAAAACACAAACGTTCAGTATAGAAACAGAGTTGTACACTTCTATAATTTAAACAGTATAGTAAATTTTCATCTGCATTTACCTTTATAATTTTCAGCAGTGTGTAGCTCAACAGTCATTAAGAACAGCCAAACGTAGTTAATGAAGCCAAAATACGAAAATACGAAATTCCATGTTGGGAGAGAAATGATTAAATTATGATTAAAACATTTACCAAACAACATTTATAACAAAATATTGTGTCTGATACTGTGAGTAAAATACTAAACTAATATGTTAATTGCTTTTATCCATCAACAGGATAGCAACTGCATGCGTACCCTAACCAAAAAAGGACCAAAGAACCACTTATTAAGAGTTGAATATATATCCAGCTATGAAGTAAGACTGCAGTTCTATGATACCAAGGTATGCTCATAAAGAGCAGTGAACGAAAAATAAAGGACTTGCTAAGAAATTAAATATACCTTGTTAACTCCTTTTTCAAGTTGAACAATTGTGCATGCCTGCCTTCACAACAAACACATGGTCCTACTATATTTATGGATCAAGTGCATACAGTACCATGCAAAGCCAATCTCAGAGGCAGTTTCTATCCATCTTGCATAAATATATAGTAAAGAAATGGTCTCAACCCCGGGCTATTTATGCTAAAATGAAAATAGATAAAGCTTACCTTAAAAGCATATTTACGGTTAATATGATCCTCAGGAGAAAGCACAGCTATCTGAAAACTAGGTAGAAGTATGCTCCCTAATATTCCCTCTTCTTTCTCATCTAAAAATATATAACATTTGCTTAGATTAACAAATATTCCTATATACATTCAGACACATTTCCTCTCTTCCTTTACATCTACTGATTTTCTACTGAAAATCAAAAAAGCATTTGACTTGATTCAAGAGCTGACAACAGATGATTAACTTTGAGAGAGGATACCGAAAAAGAATGCTTTGATTGTACAGCTATTCCTTGCTTAACATCATAGTTACGTTCTTGAAAAATGCGACTAAGCAAAATGATGTTAAGTGAATCCAATTATGTCAGAATAGTTACCTACTAGCAGGAGGAGGCCAAACAATGTTACAACCAAACACTGCACAACTTTAAACAAGTATGTTCTCTAATAGATCAGTGATATAGTAACAAAACAACCTTAACCGGGATGACGTTAAGTGAAGAGTACCTGTAGTATATAACATCTCATCTTTCTGTGGCACAGGAAAGGGTAAAAGTATTACTACTTGAGCAAGAGGAAGAGAGAGGACTAGGCGGTTGGTGCATACGGGCAGTGGACTGGGTTTCAGAATCAATTGGGAAACCAGTCGAGAGTGGCTCTACATGCAACTGGTTCTATAGCTGGTTTGGCACAAACAGTCTTAACTGGCCACTCTTCTTCTATGGCCACATAAAGACATTGTTTCACCTGGGAGAGCTGCTGCTCTCCCAGGAGAATCCATGAGCACGCAGATTCTCAGGACTCTTATCCTAGAGTAAGATGGCCACTCCTGGAGAAAAATAACCTGGGAGCAACCACGGTTAAATCACTCCAGGGAGTTTTCTCCTGGGAGGGTAAACGTTTGCGTACATTCTATGCCTCCCACTGTATACATATCCTACCCAGCCTCTCTGTGCTGCGCTGTGCTGTTCTGTGTCCCACATCATACTAAAATTAGTCAGACCAGGCCTTCCCTTTGGGAAACCAAAGATTATTTGCTGCAGGGGGGGTGGCACATTTTTATATAAATATTTTGCTAACCAAAATTATGGAAAATTCCTTTTTTTCTCTGAATATATGTATTAAACTCAAACACTAAACTCTATCACTGAAGTGGAAAATAGGACTTTAATCCTGCTTTAACTACATTTCTCAACATTAACTTAACTGCAATAGAAGGAAGCCATTTTGAGTACAGGAGAAAAAAATCAAAGCTAAAGAACGTGCAGTTAACAAGACTTCCTAAATTTCTATTTTTTCAGTGGAAATGCATCTTAACGGGACAGAAACATGAGAATGTATTATGTATTATGCCAAAGTGGACTACAGTAGTCACATGCAATGCACAGAGAAAGAGTTCTGGATATGTGCCTTTAACTACAACTGTGAAACACAATGATAGCACTTTTCTAAGCTCAACATGCAGCCTACAAGGTATACTGCAGCATAACAACTGCACCATCAGATGGGCAAATATAAACCTTTTATAACAGTGTGCACAAGGTATCTTTCTCGCACGTTGTTTCTTTGGAGATGAACATTTTAACAACACAGACATAAATGATTACAGGGCAGACAGGACTGCTTAGGTATTTTATTAAGAGAGTCATCATGGAAAAAGGAATAAAAAGCCAGCAATAGGTATTTCCTAATTAACTATATTTTTACTTATTTACTTTCATTCCCTATTCTTGAGAGGTAACGTTTCTAAAATCTATGATATGAAGACAAATGGTGACAGAGAAAGACATGGAATCGGATTCTTTCGCTGCTTTGCTTCTTGTGTAATCATTTACACTTGTATTAAAAAAAGTCCAGGAACCCAAAAAGGTTTATGCATGTCAATTACCCCACCGAAACCACTACAGCAATGAGTACTCCAATGTACAAATGGTTACAGAATCAATGCCATAGGGCAAAGGAATGCAAGAGTGAAAAACAGAAGAAAACCAGTCATCTGACTCAGTGAAAAAAGAACCACTTCCAGTCTATTGCTTATTCAGTACAACTGGCCAACTGAAATGAGAGCAAAAACATAGCTTTTAAACGCTGGTCTTTTGCAGGCATTTGCTTATCTTTCCCAATTATTGATATTAGATTAGAATATTAGCATATTATATTAGAACACTGAAGGTTTCAAATCCCATATAACATAACAGGATTTATGTTAGCTATACTTATATTTCTTTAAAATGCTAACTTGCAATATACTACAGGCACACCTATAGTATACACTGGGCAGATAACATTCTAACAAAGAATCGCTCTCATGAACTGTTTAGTTTTATAAAGAACGTTAAATCTAGGCACAAAAACCTAAAGCAGAATAGTACAAATCTGACACATTAATTTGATGTCACAACCTGTTCTGAAATCTAATTATGCATTTAATAAGAGCATAATTGAATGCAATTTACTAAGTCAATCTTAATTGTTTTTCCAGGTACGGTATTGCTATTCACAAGCGATGCCTCATGTTTGCCCCATAAAGCTTTTCTAATTATAAAACATTGCCCACAATAAGTGTTTGAACTTCAATGCTAGGGACAAAAAAAAGAAGTCTAAAACACAACAAGCTTCAGCTCCCTGATACTGCTGAAGCTTAATGAACTACAGGAATCTATATATAGGCAACATGAAAGGACTGTCTTAAATCCATGTAAAAACTGGGGTTTTTTGGTTCCCAAAAGTCCATTAAACTCCAAGAAGCTACCTTGTACAGCAGTTGTTACAGAAGACAGGCCTTTACTGAATAATAAGCATTGCACTTGCTATTAAATAGAACACAGATTACTGCTATTGCTGCTAACTGCCTTTTTTTTTTTTTTTTTTAACAAATACAAATGGAAAGTGCTGTCTTGATTAAATAAAAAATAGTGACAGGGTTGGCCTTGCAGATAGTCTTGAATAGCCTACTTTCTACTTTTGAAAGCAACAGAAATAAACATGTATCCCTTGACAAACACTTAACTAAGCTCCTGGACATTTTCTCTCCATACTGCAGAATAATCCTTCAAAACACAACTGGGTGTTTTTCCTTCAACTGAACTGGTGTGCTTGGAGACTTTTTTTTTTTTTTTTTTTTTTTTAAA